CACTGCACCAGAGCTTCAGGGCCCACCCAGGGACCCAAGGCACGGAGAAGGGGACTGAACACCCCTTCCCACAACCAGGCACACCAAGCCAGTGCCTTGGGTCCCACCCAGTGACCCGAGGCATGGAACCAGGAACCAAACCCTCCTCCCACAACAAGGCACACCACGCCAGTACCTCGGGACCCACCCAGGGACCCAAGGCTAGGAGAAGGGTACTAGACCTCTCTCCCACGACCAGGGACACCGTGCCAGCACCTGGGGGCCTGCCCAACCCAGAGGCATGCAGAAGGTGACTGGACCCTCCTCCCACACCAGGCACAAAATGCCAGCACCTTGGAGCTCACCTGGTTACCCGAGCCATGGAGAAGGGGACCAGACCCTCCTCCCACAAGCAGGCACACTGCGCCAGTACCTTGGGGCCTGCCCAGGGACCTGGGTCATGGAGAAGGGGACTAGACCCCTCTCCCACAACTAGGCACATGGCGCCAGCGCTTTGCGGCCTGCCCAGGGACCAGAGGCATGGAGAAGGGGACCAAACATACCCCACAACCAGGCATAGTGCCAGTGCCAAGGAGCATGCCAAAAACAGCACCTCCATGTGGGTGGCCCACCACAGCCACCACAATAACCATGGCTGCTGCAAAAGTGGCTAGATGCCACAGACACCACGCAGATGGTCGGCCAACCACTGCAGTGCATTCACACAAGAAGAGTCACCAGCAGAGACAAAGAAAAGAAGAGGATGTCTCTTTCCACAAAACCCACTTCAGAGTGACAGAAGAAGCATCTGCTCTATGATAATATTGGGGGACCTGATCACATCTGTCAGCACTGGACAGATCATCTAGGCAACAAGTTAACAGAGTAACCATTATTCTTTCAGAAGGAGAGAAGAAATCTAGGGCAATTGGGGGGGGGGAGGGAATGTAGGAAGGGGAGAGGTTGGGTATAAAGAATAATTATGATTTGTAACAATATATATGCTAGTAATATTGATTTAATCAATATCTCAATGTTCAACCTCCAAAATATGTATAATCGATTTTGATTCAATAAAAAAATAAATAAATAAAAATTATGCAGTAAACAGATTTGGGGAGTTCAGAGAAAATGACAGTATTTTAAGGAAAGTGGTCTGATTAGAAACAAGAAACACAAAACTGGACTCAAATTCTGAATTAGGAGAATTTTTAAAAAGAGCAAAACTAGAAAGTTCCTGTCAAATTAATTAGTGAGAAAAACATAAATCAAGTCACATTTAGCTTGATTAACCCAGTAAAGTGCTTCAAAAGAGCTGTGTAGCTTTCTCTTTCATCTGAAGGCTTCAGATTAGCAGATTCGGAAGGCATTCCCTTCAGGGTGAAAATTTTTGGTAGATAGCGGCTTAACTAACTGGGAGCCATTTACTGCTTTTTAACAGTAAATGCCCTCAAAACTTATCTAAATGCCCTCACAATTCTCTTTGTTCACTGATTCTTGTCTTTAAAAACTCCTTAAAAGATCATTTTTGAAGCATGGAAGAGCATAACTTTTCTGCTTTTCTCAAGGAGATAAAAAGTCAATTCTGCATCTGTACAATTCTTGACTGAGAGCAAGATCATTCTCTCTTAAACCTATTTAGAAAACTATTGTGTAACCTCACGGAGAGTACATAGCCACCAAACATCACGACTGCTTTCCAGATGGAGAGAGCCCCTAGGTTGAAACCTTATTAATATGGAAGTATGGCTATAATTTTATGTGAACGTGAGGTCTATCAGGATTACAGTTCCTGTGACATTCATTCCAAAGCATTTCAACACCATGTAGAAGTCCTTTGTTTATTCTTAAATACCCACTAAAATGGGAAGAGAGGAAAGACAACAGACAAGTAAGTGCATAAGATTCACAGTGAAAAGGGCACACTATACAGATATTGTCAATAACCTCAGCACATATTAATATAACACCTCGCTCTCATTTTGAAACTTTTGTTGACTCCTTTTTTGGGGGGACCAGTTGTTGTTGTATTTTTTAAAGGTTTTTGGTTTCACCATACCTGTCAGCTAGCCGTTTCATTTCCTAACCCATCATTGCTGTTTGATACAACACCTTTAATGGGAATGGTCAAGTATATATTAACCACATATGAAAACTCCCAGAATCAGACAAACTTAAGTTTGGATTATTCTGAATTTGGTCCCAAATACAAATGGAGGCTTAGCTGTTAAATCAAGTGCTGAAGATATTGACAGAATCTGTACTAAAGTCAATATGGCAATGACCTTGAGTGTTCAGTGTTCCCTTTAAATAGTCTCTCCTCTTTAAGGAACAGCGTATTTTATTAGAAACAAAGCCTATCCTTAAGCAGACATCATCCCCACACCATCCATGTTCTGGAGAAGGAGTCCCTGGGTATATCTACTAGTATTTTTAAATAGCACATCCAGTGCATTAGTAGGTCCTATCCCCTTCTGCTTTCTCTAAAGCTTTACTCTGTCACTTATCTTATCCCTGGTTCACATACAGATTAAGAGCACGGGATCCAAAATCCCACTGCCAAAATCTGAATCTGGCTTCTCCTACTTAAAAGCTGTGTGATTTGGGGAAAGTTACTCATGTTCATGTAGGACGTGTGACTAATAACAGCACCTAACAAGTAGTCATTACAAGGATTAAATGAAATAGTGCAAAATGACCTTCACAGAATGCCTGGCATATAAATGGGACTATCATTATTCTTAGTATTAAATACCTTCCACCACCACTTAAAGTGTCTTCAGGGGTGGTTTTTCCTATTTCAGTTCTTCCTTCCAACTCTATCCATAACCTTCTCTTCAGAGTTTCTCCCCCACACTCATAATCACCCAGTCATGTTTTTTGCCACTCCATTGAAACCATTCCTGCCAAAATTGCCTCTTTACTTAATTCAGCTCTACGTCAGCATGCCTATTAATTTATATGCAGCATATAAAAAACATTTCATATTTTACAAACAAGACAGAGTTGAAATAAAAAAATCTACAAGTATTTTAAAACCCACAAAAAATAAGTTGATATGTACCTTTGATTTTAAACATAAAGTTGAGTCCAAATTCTCTCATTTCCTTACACCATTATCATAAGAAAATGTAATAGAAAAAACCCAAACAAGCCAATGCTCTAAAAGAATCACAATTAACCTTGTTAGATGCCAAATAGCTAATCTTCCAAAATGAGGTTTTAATTAATGAGTTATTTGTCACTAACTTCCTAGGTAGATTTTTAGATAGAGCATGAAAAAAATGAATAATGTGAATCATCTTTTTTGGACCATAAATAAATGGCAGATTTCACAACAGTTATTTGAAAATCTGGTAATTAAAAAAATAGTTGGCAGGGCTGGCCCATGGCTCACTTGGGAGAGTATGGTGCTGATAACACCAAGGCCACAGGTTCAGATCCCTATATAGGGATGGACGGTTAGCTCACTTGGGAGAGTATGGTGCTGACAACACCAAGTCAAGGGTTAAGATCCCCTTACCAGTCATCTTTAAAAAAAAAAAATTAATCAATAAATACCTGCATAATTTTTTGCCTTTAAAAGTTTTAAGATTTAAGTTAAATGTCACATATAAAACAGATTCTAAGAATAAGTAAATTACTTATAGTAAGTTAAAATAAAGATTTTAAAAATTAATTTTTCTTCAAGAGTTTATAGAAATAAAGTTATGACAAGAAAAGCTCAATCACAAATTTTGTCTTGTTCTTTCTTTTCGGCTCCTAACTCTTTAGAATTGAAGTGTTTAACCCACTAAAAGCAGAGCAGAGAGTTATGGAAAGCAGAAACATTCTGACACACTGGCATCTTCAGGGCCAGAAAGACATTTGTTCTGTGAGCCCTCCTTGCCAAGAAAGACTCTGTCAACTAATTGTACCACTCCTCCCCTATCCCCAACAGTCCTTGCCAAAGGCTACTGTTTAAGAAAATTTATAGTGTAGCTACTAATATTATGTTGGTTAGTTTGATGGATAGGAAAGATGGATGGGCTGTGAAGGAGAAAGTCATCAAGGCTACTAGAGCCACCACTTAACTGTTGTTGGCATCTGTGCCATGAACCAGAGCACTAAGCAGCAGAGTAAAGTGTAGGGGACAGGACAGTGATGAGAAATCCAGCCCAAATACTCCAATCTCTGATGCCAGGCATCTTCCCAGAGGAAGGGGCACCTTTTCCTAATATGTATAAAGGTGCATAATGGGCTAGCCTTTGACCCATCTAACAAAGGAGACAGAGGCGAGACAGTATGTAACTGATATGGCAAGGTGAAAGAACTAAACTTTCACTTCGTACCTGGTTCTATAATAGAAATGTAATAAAAACTTTTATAAATGTCATATTATTTCCTTTAATATCGTCCTCTCTATCATAAGGGGCATTGTTACTTGCCATTATGTGATGAGAAAAACTGCAGATTCAAATAAATTGCCAAATGAGAGGCAGAAATAAGATCTTCAGTCTGGTTAATCTTCTGTGAAAAAAGTAGAAATGTGTTTAATAACACCTGTTAGACCTGGGAGAAAGAAAGGTTCTTTGGGGTTTATAAGTTACTGCCTTCCAGGTATTTTCAGGGTAGAATGAATATCCACTTTAAAAGGTGCGTTAAAAACACCATAGCTTGGCTTTCCATCCAAACCACAAAAGGAAGAGGGAAACTTCAACTCAAAGACCTCAGACACAAGAAAGCAGCATAATAAAACACAAGCATGTCAAAATTAAACTAAGAATTTGAGATACCCATTTCAGAACCAAAACTTAAAAAACTACTGGCTTTTAGCTACTGGCCACCTCATGCATTAATGACTAAACAAGGTTATGATATAGTATACGTTTTGCAATAAAGTGTCTCATATATGAAACTGGATAGAAAATAAACATCACCCATGTTCCAGTTTCCTTAAAAGAATAATGACTGTTTTCCACAGAAAGGTTTACCAATTAATAAGCATTATTCATGTGCTCTAATTACAATGTCTTACTCACCTGAGGCTGAGTTCATCATATTCTGCTGCACTGGTGGACTGGTGGGGGCCGTAACATTCATCTGAGAGAGCATGGCCTTCCTGGGGTCCTGCCATGTTGTTGTCTGATCAATGTGACTGAGACAAAACAAACCACTGCATTAGATAACAAATACCAGGTCCTAAAAACCAGTTTCCTTATCAAAATAGGTAGATACGTGGGCTAATAATCAAAGAGTTCTAAGTAAGCTCTGTTACAGTATAAAGTCATGTCACTGCACTGTTCCACACTCTTCTGCAACAGACATTTTCATTCCTTAAGTCAGTCAACTTTCACCTCTTAGATCTTGTAAGTGTAGGTTTCGAAATAGTTATGCTTGCACTTTTAAGTGAAGAGAAATCACCTTCACCAGGTTGACAATTATCGTCCACTTCTAATTTAAAGATTAAAATGTAGTTTGTAAATTAATCACCTAAAACAGTAATCATATGACTAAAACCCAAGATTCACAAGGCAATTACCCACTTTTTTTCTGAGAGCTAAGAATGCCAAATAACATATAATTCTTAGGCCTAAAACACCTTTTAAAAAGTAAAATACACAAAAATAAAAGTCTTACTATAATATATACTCCAAAGCCAAAATAGAATTAAAAACTTTATCTGTAAGTTTTCATTTTCTCCTGACTGCTGAATAACAACATGTTCTGGCACAGAGTCCTTTGTTTTATGCAGAACATTTTCTACACACGGTTAACATACTGCAAAATATATGTATGCATATAGATTTCTTCATCTTTATTACTAAGAATGAAAACATCTAAAGATTCTATGAAATTATAAGATATCTAGCACAGTATTTGGTAAATGAGAGCTTTCAATTAATATTAGTTTCCTTCTTCCAGCAAAGTTTCATTGTTTCAGTGAAACAAAAACTAAAAATATCATTATGCAAATGAAACTACCTTAAAAATTATCATGAAATAATAGCCAGAAGTACGCAAAGAATCATACATAAAATTCTCTTCAGTATCATTTGTACACAACAAAAATTTGAATTACAGCTAAAATCCAATGTAGAGGACTGGTTAAATAAATATGGTTACATATGATGGACTACTATGCAGATATTGAAAATATTTTAGAAGAATATTTAATAACATGGAAAATATTCATAATACAGTTTTTAAAAGTTATAGGTTATAAAACAGTAGGTACAGTATAAGGCTAATTGTTTAAAAATACATATATGTGCAGTGATAGTATATAGGAAGAACAGACAATGCAGAACAAAGTGTTTTTTTTTTTTTTCCTTTTTGTCTTTTTCCATGTCCGGCAACGGATCGCAACCCTCAGTGTTGCCCCTGCACCGGACCGGGACCGGCAACGGGATCGCAACCCTCAGCGCTGCTCCCACGCCTCGCTCAGCCAGTGAGCGGGAACCGGCCTGTATGTTGGATCTGAACCCTCGGCGGGAGTGCCGCTGCACTTCCCAAGCGGCGCGCTACAGCAGTGTGCCACCGGGCCGGCCCCAGAACAAAGTGTTTTAACAGTGTTTATTTCTAGATGATAAAATTATAGAACTCTGCTTTGCTAGGTTTTCCTATTATTAAAGAATCATAAATTCATATTATTTTTGAAAGGGGGGAGAAGAAATGTGGTATTGTTTTTATTTTTAAATAAACTCCCCAAATAATTTTTTGTAACTGATTAAATTTCAAATCTGAGTTCTCTCTTCTTCAATCATCCCCTAATAAATAACCAGGTAAATGTTAAAGAAATGACACCTGCTGTCACTATCTTGAAATAGAACTAGAACACTATCTCATCAATAATTTTATCTTATCATTAACACATTAAGAAAGGATCATAGACTCTGGCTAGAATGGGTCTTAACTATTAACTACTGGAGATGGGAGGAGAGTTCTTTTAGCCCCTAGGCAAGCAAAAAAGGGATGAAAACAGGAAAGATCTGTATATAGTCATGGGCCACATGATATTTTGGTTAATGACAAACCGTACAAATGATGGTGGCTACACCATCTAGGTTTGTGTGAGTACACTCTGATGTTCACACAATGACAAAATCCCCCGATGACGCATTTCTCAGAATGTATCCCTGTTGTTAAGCAACACATGATTGTACTTAGAAATGACAATGGTACCTGTCACTTCGAGGCTATTACAGACCAACTACAAATGTTAAGAGAAAATATTTATTTATGTAGCAGAGTATATAATTTCTCAAATGTTACCAGTACCTCTTTTTTTCACTGAATAGATCTACTTTTCAACAGCAGCATTTGCTCAGGTCTAGACAGTACAAGAAATACCTTGTTCAAGTTTTGCCATCCAAGAATCTTATTCCAAAAGATAAGTCTTCAAAGCTCAGTAATGACTTATTCCTCCTCCTTTTCAATCCTCCACATGAGCCACTGAACAAATTAAACCATAAAATGTTCTCTAGGTATCAGTGCTTTTTAGGCTTACAGATATAACCAATACACATATGCTAATTAATATAGTCGTACTCAAGGACAGAAGCTTAAAATCCACAAGCGGACCAAAATTTAGGGAAATGTTTCTTACTGCCTATTATACCATTAAGAAACCAGGAAAGGAAATGGCCAGTGGTTCATTACTAGCAGTTCTTAAATTTCAATAGTATGTGCCACTGACTACTCTTGTCTCCAGTACTTTAAAATTCCTGACATATGTGAGGGTGAAGGAGAAGCGGGAGGTACACTGAAAGCAGGTTCAGGATTCTGACTGCTGAAGATTTTCTGAGTAAGTAAAAGTGTAGTTTCTCTGAAAACTGATTACATAAATACTATTATCCCATTTTTTAATGTCACGTCTTGAAACTACAGGTCACATTACACAGGGCTCTCCACCAGAGGATTTAGGAAGACTCCATTCTGATGACTGAACATAAAACAACCACATGAATCTTCCCCCAAATTGAAGCCAATCCATAAATATGTTCTTAAAGCTTCTTTCCCCTTTAAATTAAGGTTTTGAATATAATTCAGAGAATGTATAGCTTAACTGCTCTCAAAAGATAAAATGTACAAATTCTAAAATTTCTACTCCTAATAAAGCTGGTGGACCTCAGTAAGTTAAGTTTAAAGCCCTAAAGAACTGTACTACGTTATGCCAGCCAATGTTCCACTTACTTAAAAAAAGATCTACATCTCTTTAAGGAATAAAGATGCCATTATCTAAATATCCAACTATAAAAGAATGTAACCATTTAGATGCCAAAGGAAATGTGAAATAAAATGAACTTTAGAATATTTGCTTTTCATTTATTCTATAAGATTAAATCAAGAAGAAATACTGTTATATCAACTTACAACAATACACACAAAAATATCTGGCTTTCCTTTTTACTCTATAAAAACACTTCATACAACAAAACCATATTTTTGCTAAAACCAAATAAATAGCTTGCCAGGCCCTCCCTTCTCCCAGATATCCGCATGGTACCTTCTCTAACCTCCCTTCTGGTCTTTGTTCAAATGTCAAATTCTTAATAAGCGTTCCCTGGCCACATCATCTAAAATCCACCCTACCCAAACTCCTACTTCTTCTTTGCTTTATTTTTGCTTGATAATAATCCTTTATCACTATCTGACATGTATTTTACTTGTTTTGTTTCCTTCAACTAGAGCATAAACTCCAGGAAAATAGAAACGTGTCCATTTTATTCACTACTGTATCACTGGAAGAGTACTTAACATTTGTCAAATGAATGAATGGAAAAAAAGCTTTTTTTCTTTTTTGCCCTTAAAAACATCGAGCTTTCTCTAAAAGGTCCTTGTGACCTTACTGATTATATCAACATCTACCTTTTCCAAAAATGAAATCATAAGTAAGGATTGTAGATTCACTAGAATTGGCACTATGAAGATCAATGGTGACACTGGCAAGAGCAGTTTCAACAGCACATTGAGGGTATGGTGATTTGGAGGTAAGAAAGCAGACAAATTTAGCTGTACACAGGGAGGAAAGCAAAACTCAACTGGATAGATATATGTTCTTGTTTTTTCAAGAGGAAGAGATACAAGTGTCTAAGTGTGAAAACAAACAATAGCTGAAAATGTATGAAGGGATTACTGGTGGGGTACTGTCATCCTTCAGAGAGTAGCAAGTAACAGGATGCAGATATTGCTTCCACTGTAACAGGAGGTAAGAAAGAAAGGATGGGGCAGAAGGAAATAACTTCACTGGCTGATGAAAGTTGAGCAAATTCTGGTGTGATGGTGTCTACTCTCTTATCAAGAAGTATAACATTGAGATGATTAACGAGGCTCAATACCTGTACCAGCCAGCCACCAGAAAAAAAAAAATGTAATTAACGAGGCTGGCATTACTGATACAACCAGAAAACTGAGGGACCTGCCCAAGTCACACATCCAGTATGCAGAATTGCATCTGGTGTACAGGAATTCTGAAAACAAATTTCTATACCAGACATATATATAAAAATAATATCAAAAATATAAATGTAATACATATTGAATAACAAAGATTCCACATAAATACTAAGGAGAGAATAAAAAGGCCTGGATACTGAAGATTCAATTAAAAGATGCCAGAACATTACAAACACAATTTGTATTACCACTAGAATATAAGTGTTTTGAAGGAAGTGCATGTGGCAGAGTGCCTGGTACACAGTAAGGCTCAATAAATATGTGCTGCATTGAATGAATATTAAAGCAGTATTCATTATTTAATAATGTAGTAGATTAAGTGCTCACATACATGCTAATCTGAAAAAGGATTGAGAAAAGAATTTTGTCACTTAAACTACACCAATTCTAAAAAGTGTCAAACATTAAATAATCAAAACATACAAAGGAGATAAAATTAGAGAAAACTCATAAAACATTATTTTCAGAGTTAAAAATATGAGTGGTTGTATATAAAATCATTAGAAGGATTAATTTATCTTGTTCCTAAGGACAGTTTAACTGCTGAACTTCCTATAGGAAAATAAGAAATGTAAATAAATTATTCTGCTGTTATATTAGAAAAGAAAAAGGAATTGGATTTATGATCAAGATAAATCCTGTGATCTCTCTAGAGCAGCTACAGCTGGGAAACAATGAACTTGTCAAAGTTTAGACTTA